ATTCGAGGAGCAGTCGACTCAACGAGGCGGAAGCGACCAAACGGGTCTCGTTGTGGAGGGTGTGGGCAATGAGTGGCCCTGAACGATGGAACATTCTAGTCGGGAGTTTGGCGGCGCTGGTTCATGGCAGTTTGTACCCCGTGTGGGGAGTCATTCTTACAAAGTGCATCATGGTGTTTTTCCAACTGGCATCCGGTGGGGACGAGCTGCTTCGGCAGGCGCTGAAGTGGTCGATGGCGTTTTTGATCTTGGGCGCGACGACTTGTTTGGCCGCGATCGTGCAACACCACCAGTTTGCCATTGTCAGTGAACGCCTCACGACGTCCATCCGTGGTTTGTGCTTTCGCTCGTTGTTGCATCAAGATTTGGCGTGGTTCGACGAACCGACCCACCCTGCCGGCGCGCTTGCCACTCGCCTCGCGACCGACTGCGCCGCGGTTCGCACCATGACCGCTGAAACACTAAACGCTGTCTTGATCAACATCGCGACGTTGTCGATTGCATTAACGATCGCGTTCAGCTACAGTTGGCGCATGGCTCTTGTGTTTCTCGCCGTGATTCCTGTCATGGCCATGGCGCAGGCAGTCGAGATCAAGGTCCAGACTTCGCAAACCAAAAAACAAATCAACAACGGCGACATTCTGGCCGGGTCATTACTCAGTGAAACTATTCACGGCATTCGCACGGTCGTCGCATTCAATCTCGAGCAGTCAACGATGGCGACCTGCCTGGACTACTTTCAGCAGAGCGCCGCCGCGGATCGCGTCGCTGGGGTCGTCAGCGGTTTCGCGTGTTCGCTCTCGATGTCGTCCATCCTCTATGCGATCTCGATCGTGGTGTACGTGGGAGGGTGGCTGACTCAACGCGGCCTTTTGAACTTTGAAGGCATGTTCATGGTCTTGAATGTACTCTTTCTGAGCTCCGTTGGAGTCGGGATTGCAGCCGAGGGCATGGGCGATATCAGGAAGGCGAAAGAAGCGGTCAAGAGCATCTTTTCCATCATCGACCGCCAGCCTCCCATCAACTGCGCGTCCATCCAAGGCCTGCAACTCAAACATGTCCATGGGGATCTGGAACTCCGGGGTCTGGAATTCTCGTACCCGAGCCGCCCAGATAGCAAGATCTACTCCAACTACAACCTCAAGATCAAGAGCGGACAAACCGTCGCGTTGGTCGGCGGCAGCGGCAGTGGCAAGAGCACAGCCATCAACCTCATCGAACGCTTCTACGACCCCACGGCCGGTTCAGTGTTTCTCGACGGCCACGACCTCAAGTCGCTCAACGTGCAGTCGCTGCGCCAGCACATCTCGATTGTGAGTCAGGAGCCGGTCCTGTTTGTCGGCACGATCGGGGAGAACATTGCGACGGGAAAGCCCGGCGCCACGCAGGAAGAGATCGAAGAAGCCGCCAAGAAGGCCAACGCACACGACTTTATCATGCAGTTCCCAGACAAGTACAACACGGCCGTGGGGGACCGCGGCGTGCAAGTGTCTGGCGGCCAGAAGCAGCGCATCGCGATCGCCCGCGCCATCATCCGCGACCCTGCGATTTTGTTGCTGGACGAAGCCACGAGTGCGCTGGACAACGAGAGCGAGCGCATTGTGCAGGACTCGCTGGACCAGCTGCTCAAGCTCAAGCGTCGGACGACGATCATCGTGGCGCATCGGCTGTCGACAGTGCGGAATGCGGACGTGATTGCAGTCGTGGACGGTGGTCGCGTGGCCGAGCAGGGCACGCACGAAGAGTTGATTGGCATCCCGAATGGCATTTACGCCAACTTGGTGTCGCGACAGATGAGTTAGAATCTAAAGAGCAGGCCGTAGCTACGTGCGATGTATGCACGATGAACATTGCATTCTGACGAGTTACGCGCTGTTCGTCGTGACTGCAATTCTTATCTCGTGGGCTGCGGACCTTGAGACGAAGCTGTGTGTGGGTGGCTGTGGAAACTTCCTCCGACTACACTCATGTCGCCGCAGGGGGATGAGGCGGAACCAGGCGTGATTGATCTCGATCAGGATGTAGCTGTACGTCAGCTACATGATCTCTTGCTTCGTGACATGCCATCCAATCGCCTTCAGCCTGCAGTGGACTGTGTATTGCCTTGCTTTTCACTACTCTCGGCCAGGCTGGTTGTTACCTTGGATGCAACGGCTCGAGCTGGTGTATTCTAGAGAGATTGTTCAGGTGGTGTTCAGGTCGTGGTGGCGGGAGATATCGTGCAATGGCAAGGCAACGGGCACGAAAATCGGCCGTTGTGAAAAAATCAACTGAAAGCGATAAGAGGTTGTCGGTGACG